CCACCTGGGTGGCAGCTTTCAGGGAACTGTGGACATGAACCCCAAGATCCCTCTGCTCCTCCACACTGTCAAGAATCTTTCCGTTAACCCTGTATTCTGCTTTCAAGTTTGTCCTTCCAAAATGAATCACCTCACACTTGTCAGGGTTAAACTCCATCTGCCACTTCTCAGTCCAGCTCTGCATTCTATCAATGTCCCTTTGTAACCTAGAACAGCCCTCCGAACTGTCCACAATTCGACCCACCTTTGTATCATCTGCGAACTTACTAGTCCACCCTTCCACTCCTTCATCCAAATCATTTATCTAATTACCTAATTATCTCATTACTATTGGCCAGCAGCTAACAATTGAGTAATAGTTTTGACTCAAAAAAATTCGAACTGTTTGCACAAAGTAAAGTTCTGTGCCAGCACATTATATCTTCAGCTTTTTGTAAATTTCAAATGTTACACTACATGTAATATTGTAGTATGAGAGTTTTCTGTTTTACTCTTAAATCAGTGCTAGCATACTGTCAAAATTATTTTGATGTGTAATAATCTGGATTCGTTTTTAAATATTTATTCAGCAAATATCCCCTTTCCTAAAGTTGCTATCTGTTTCATGGTTCAAGGTTCATGAACAGGAGCAACAAATCATTAATTTGTACAAAAAAAACCCAAAGAATTGCAGATACTAAAAATCAGAAACAAAAACAAGTTTACAAGTCACTGTCAGATGGTTGTTACTCATGGGGCATCACAGTGATGTCTGATTCTAATTTCGTTCAATGCTTGTACTGCACGTTCTCCAGCAAGCAGCACTGAATAATAATACGGCAGGAATACGTGATCATTTTTCACTTTCCTAGTCTAACATACTGATGTAAATTATAGTAGCACTTTTGCAGTCTTGGCTGAGACCAACTAACTACACATGGACAAGGAATTGAATCAGAACCTCTGCTCTTTTATTCATTGAGTGTTATTTTTAATGTTTATTTATTTATCTTCGTCTACGGAGATGAAATATCGCAACTGTCACGAATCTATATAGAACAGACAGTAGTGCATTTTCAGATGTCTGCTGGGGTTTCACTGGATATTTAGGCATTAGCTGAGGCTGATATGGGCCCATATGGGTCTGCTGCACGTAGGACAGGATATCGAAGACTGCAGAGTTTTGGATGAGTTCCTGAACAGGCTTTCTTCTTGTGCTGTCTCTACCTCTGGTATGTGTTTGATTTTTAAGGAGGTTTCGAGATTTTTAATTGCCTGCACCAGGTGCGGCAATCCTGAATATTACAACATGGATACAAAATTGGCTGCAGGACAGGAAACAGCAATGGCCAATGGATAACACAGTGTGGAGCTGGTGGAGCACAGCAGGCCAGGCAGTTTCAGAGGAGCAGGAAAGTTGACGTTTCGGGTCAGGACCCTTCTTCAGAAAAGGGTGAGGGGAAGTTGAGCTCTGAAATAAATAAAGAGAGGAGGAGTAGGGCTGAGGAAGGTAGGTGGGATGGTGATAGGTAAGTGCAGATAGGCAATGGTAGTTGCTCTCGACTGCATCTCTTGCATTTCCCGCACCTCTGCCCTCACATCCCCTCCCTACAACAAAAACAAAGACAGAATCCCCCTTGTCCTCATGTATCACCCGACTAACCTCCGGATTCAACGTATCATTCTCAATCACTTCCACCACCTGCAATCTGACCCCACAACCAAGGATATATTTCCCTTCCAATTCCTATCTGCCTTCCGTAGGGACCGCGCTCTCTGCAACTCCCTTGTCCGCTCCACACTCCCCACTAGCCCCACCACCCCCTGCACCTTTCCCTGCAACC